GTGAAGTTACCAGCTGACTTCGAAGGCATGCTGTTTGTCTTTTGTTACGAGGTCGATGAATTTGTTGGGATTGTGCAGACAAGCAGGGCTACGGCGTGCCGCCATGGCTGGGAGATGTTTGCCGCCCACCGTGTATTGTTACCCGTTGCTGATTTCTTCTTTCTACAGCGGCAGCTCATTTATTTACATCGCGAAGGATGCTCAGGAGTGGCCATAACAGCTATTTGTTCAAGTGCTCCTTCTAGTCAGAGATTTAAGTCGATCTGTACTGGTACACCATAATGGAGTGCCAGTCGAAGTTAATGGCGTGACTAAACGGAGCATTAGGCCGCGCCGTAGCTCAAGCGGTTAGTCGCTGGCTTCCAACCGCGGCGGACCGGGTTCGATCCCGGGTCTGGTCAAGTGGGATTTGTGGTGGACAAAGTGGGGCCGGGGCAGGTTTTCTCCGAGTATTTCGGTTCCCCCTGCCAATCTTCATTCCACCAGTTGCTCCACAATCACCCTCGCCTATCATCTGGGGCTGGTATAATAGGCCAGAAGTGGCCGCAGTGCAAGGGACTTAGTCCAACCCCACGAGCATTAAAAAAAACGGAGCATTTCAATTTTGACTAAATTCTTCGCCATTTGATATACCTCGTAGGTTCTGATACAGAGTCTAAAACATTTTAAGGTACAACGCACTCTTCAAGTAGGCAACCTCATGGAAGGAAAGCCCTGTGTGTCAGATCTCCGGTGTTACGATTCTGGTATATATGTGTTGAAAATAGACTCTATTAACTTTCTAATGATTACGTAACGATGTACGCAACTATCCGATGAAGAATCTTCAAAGCTGTTGTAGATAGAGTTTATTGGTTCTGCAGATACAAATAAACCTACGGTTTTACAAACCTAATGAGTGTTTACACCGCAATGCATAAAGTGGCAATTGATATTGTTGAAAGAGCTAATGAGCAGTACAGATACACACACCCTGTTTTTTTTTCTTGGCACTACAGCTCCAGTGGGCCTAGGCCTACCTCCATGAACTTCTCCGTTCACACACGCACCCTGTATAGACACATAATTGTTGTTTCTCGTACTTAATTACATTTACGCCGTATTCAGTGAAGTAACATTTTTGGTTCTTAATGAGAAGCAGCCCCCATGTGACACGTACCAGTTTTTTTTTGTTTTATTGTAAAAAATGGGTAACGTCCCTATGTTTATGTAATTAAGCACTACGTCATGAAGGCATGTATGGGGGAGTGGATGTATAAAAATCCGTCGCCTGTAGTCCGCAAGCGAACTGTACCGACCGAGCGACCGCCGCTTGTCGGCGAAGTTAGGATCCGTTGCGCCGTCCACGCGACACACTCTATCCGCTAAAGTTGGCAAACTTGGAGTGGATGTATAGATCCACATTTTGTTGACCTCGGCGCTAGTTGGAGGTGAGTTCCGTATAAGATTTTGTTCTATTTGAGCTTGCAGTGAAGTTGTATGTGATCTCCTAGGCCACGATACCATATACATTGGTAGATGGGTACGAACGTTTTCATTTTTGCAGCAGTAGAGAAAGTGGAGGCAGTACATTACCCCGAAACGCTGGTATTACTTACCGGACTGCACGATGTCATGACGCAGACGGTATGTTCTTCGAGCGATTTGGACCAAAATTAAATTCGCCCAACAAAATTTTGTGTAAAATTCCTGATACGAAATTTAATCTAGATGCGTTTAGCAGCTTTGCATATGAAACATGTAATGGAGGGCATGTCTACATGCTTTTCACGGCATTCGTCTCCCAGCTGTGTTAGTTATCTGGGGCTCTGTGCTGTAGCCAGCGGTAAGGTGGCCACAGCATGAAGCTGATCACCTACATGCATCTTTTCATTCACTGTACTGCATACGTCACGGGCGTTATGGTTAAACACGTGGGCGGCAACATTGGCCTTATCCCATATGCTCCCCCATCTTGAAATTGTGGTCGCATACAAGTGGCAACATGGTGATGTTGGCGACTAGTCGGGCCGGCAGCGGAAGGAAACCAGTTCCCAAAGAAAAGAACCGACACACAGCCTTCTCAACTGTAGGGGGGAGAAAGAGAGATTGAAGTGGAGATAATACAAAACCGAAAGTTATGTCAGTTGGTTCCGTATCCGTCCCGTTCCAGTTGGGTTGTTTTGTCGGCATTTGTGTTTCATGAAGGCTGAAACTTTTTCTTTACTGTTGAGACACTTGTATAATGTACATGTAAGGGCAAACTACAAGGGTCAACGGCCTACTCAGTGGTGTTACATGTCGCCGTACAATGAAATCGGAGAAAAATGCGCAGCTCAGAGCTTTAAACAAAAGTTACGAACGTGGGACGGAACGTGATTTTATCCCGTGCAATTTTATGGAATAGTCAGCTGATTTATCTGTTTATTTTGATTTGATGAAAGAGTGAATTTTCCTCTACTCCTCTCCCTTGTATTATTTGAGGAATATAAAAGCAATAAAAGGGCCACCCGGTAGCGTAGTTTGTTAAGTTCTTATGCTACAAGCCGGAAAGTCGCCGGTTCGAGTCCTGATGAAGTGGATTTTTCAGTTAACGCAATCCTTTCAGCCGCACTATGGCCCTGGGGTCGACTCAGCCTCTAACAGAAATGAGTACCAGGAATATTCCTGGGGAGTAAAGGGCGGCTGCCGCGTAAGGCTGACAACCTCACCGCCATCTTTGAGCCGATTGTCTAGATAATGTGGGACCCTCAACGTCTCACAACCCTATGGGCCTTCACGGCCTGGTACAGGGATAGCTTTACCTTAAAAAGCAATGGGATGTTATGGTACCAGAGAAAAGAAACTCTTGTGTTCGTAAGGCCACGTTCAGCGAGTGCCAGAAGGTAAAACGGTAAAGTCGTCCCTGTGCTTAAGTAATTAAGCATGGCGACATGTAAACGTATGAGCAAGTGGATGTAAAGACCCGCTTTTTCTTGACCTCTCACTAATTGGAGGTGAGTGGTCAGCTTCAAGCCCCGGCTGATGAAATGAGTACCTGTGGGAAAAGGAATGAATTGTTATGAAGCAGTAGTCAGGTAATGAGGGCTGCATATCAGCAAATAAAACGAATAAGGATGACCTGTGATTGGTAACCGGAAGACGGTGACGCTGGTGAACCGTATATAATATATACATAACTTAATTTCTAGTCATGTTCATGCACTTAGTCCAGGATCTTGATTATACCGCAGTGAAGAGTATTTAACGTGATCCATTGTCTGATGTATGTTTTAGTAGTATACGCGACTTTTCAACTTCCGGTCTTTGAGCGATTGACTTTAGTAATATTGGCATGTTTTTTTTACCGTTTCTGTTAGTGTCAGCGGTTCAGGTAGGTGTGTATCCGGGACAGTGGGAAACGAAGCGTAGCAAGCCGGGCGAATCTTTTGAGAATCGCCAAGTTCATGATGTGTTTTGGTCGTCTTAGTGTAGGTTACTTAGCCGGCGGCAGCTGTGTTATAACGGAAACAATATATGATATATAATGCACCATTAATAGCAGTTGAAGCGGCCGTAGCGTGAATGTATGACATCACATTTCCGTTACCTAGGCTAAGAATACGCACAGCATCCCCTCTGCTCCCTCATAGTTCTAAACCTGAGAAGCCCCAAAATCCATCTGAATGTTTAAAAACTCGGTTTATACCTTACAGAAGACACACTATCTGCATTACAAATATCAGTTGTTTTGTGTTATAGAGATAAGTAATCACAATTTATTCTGAGAATCACGTGAAACCAGCAAATACACTCTTGAGAAAAATGCAGTTTTCAGTATTGAAGCATGTGGTACGTATAATAATAATAATAATAATAATAATAATAATAATAAGAAGAAGAAGAAGAAGAAGAAGAAGAAGAAAAAATAGGTCAGTTAGAAAGTGGTTGCTAACATGTAGCTATGCAACATAAAATCGGTTAAACGTGAGAGTCTCAACGTGGAGCAGTGACAAGGGCGANGCGGTCCGAATAATAACCGTAGCTTTAAAAAAATTGACGTCTGTTGCCGAACCTTGGAGACAGCTTCATTTCTGCAGTGTAGATGCAATAAGAAGGCATGCACTGTCTTCGCTCGCTTGGAAACCGGGATCGTGGGTTCGAATCCCACTCAGGGCGTGGATGTTTAGTTTGTGTGTGTGCGTTTTTCCGTGTTTGTGTACAGGTAGAGGCCTTGCGACGAGCTGATCACCCGCCCAAGGAGTCCTACCGAATGTGTAAGATCTAGAAAAACCGAAGTGAACGGAGAAGTTCATGGAGGTAGGCCTAGGCCCGCTGGGGCTGTAGTGCCAAGGGGGAAAAAATGTAATAAGGTTTGAATGGTACCATGTTGTTGTAAAGCTGTCGTGTTATGGTTTCGAATTCGGTGTTTATGTAACAGTGTGTCATATTCTACAACTGCTTACTTGCTACAGTAACGGTACGCCTATTAACTTTATCACGGAGAGACCAGATTAATATGATATTCAACTCAGAGCGCAAAAATATTTTTTTCTGTATTGTTTACAAATAAATACCGATCAGGTTTCGAATTAATTGTAGATCATGACTTGACAGATTAAGGCCTGTAATAAGGTCGACTGGTGTAAGAAGTTTTTGCACTAAATAGTTGAGAACTGGGTGGCAAAATTAGATCCAACAAAAAATTAAATAGTATCTCCAGCTTTGTTTAGATATTTTGCTCCTCAATAATAAAATCTGTGTAGAAACTGTAGGCCTTATTCGGTATAGTGTAATGCGTATGCATTGTGTTTGGCATTAGAACTGCCATCGCCGTGCCAAGTAACACGAGATGTGTGTGTGATGTCACGTAGTGGACTTCAAACCAGCAGTTCACACCGCTGTATGTCACTGTCCATCCATCCAGAGCTGTCAAATTCGTCTGCCTGATATCACCATGGATTTCTTGAGTAAAATGTGCGTGATTGCCGTTACGAGAAATAGCGTTTAGGCCTATATACACGGATTAATTTTATTTGCAGTGGTGCCAACCGATTGCAGTGACGGACGACCATCGGACACGGAGGAGCTTTTGGGTCGCCATGATTACAGTGCCGCCAGCGATAAAGATATATGCGAGGAGGGACGGAGGCAGCAGCAGCAGCAACAACAGCAACAGCAGCAGCAACAACAACAGCCGAACAACGCAAAGAACAGCGTTCACAGCTCCGAGAGAGGACAACTTAACTTCGAGGTGAGTTTCAGAAACCAGCCGTATCAGTAGACCTATCTGTTCGAGAAAGAGGACCGGCATCGTATCTTCTCTCTGATTCACCAGGGCGTGTGTTTGTTTCTGTTGCGTTCCTGCCGGAATGTATTCCCCTTTCCCAAGCCCATTGCACGAAACGGTATGTGGGACATGTATGATGAACTTCGCGCATTCTTAACCTCACCTCTACTATATCCTGCAGTGGAGAGAAGACGTGGCTTTGGGACGGCTCTTGCTGCCGTCGGTGTATTGGAGCTTAATTATCCTTGTATTTGGTTAAAGTCAACCAGTCCTCACAGCTTGCCTCGCCTTTACTTCATTCGAGGGCATTAGCCGTCTTTACCTTGGGAAATAGCCTTCAGATGGTTGAGGCGTTATGTAGATCTGTAGGCTTGTATTTCTGCAAATAGAACACTGCAGTTTTGTAACTGGAGATTTCTGTCTCTTTTAACAACTGAAATATTTTGTGTCGAACGTTATTTTTTACGGAACTGCATTTTGCGGCACTTAATGGAGAGACAGACCGGCCGGCGGAGCGGGCGGGCAAGAGTTTTATGGTCGGTTAGGAAATGGCAGAAGAGGGGCTGTGTTATAAACCCCCCCATCCTTGGAAATTGGGTTAAGTCTACTGTATGAACGAGGTTACGTAATACTTTTTGTAGGAAATCTTACGGAAGATACTGCATCTTTCGTGTAAGCAGGTTTGAGATTCCCACCGGCGCATGAATACCGAAAGTATGTTCAGAATATAATCTAGTAACTTCCTAATGGCCGGTCACGGTAGCCGAGCGGTCTAAGGCATGTACTGTCTTCGCTCGCTTGGAAGCCGGGATCGTGGGTTCGAATCCCACTCAGTGCATGGATGTTTAGTTTGTATGTGTGCGTTTTTCTGCGTTTGTGTACAGGTGGAGGCCTTGCGACGAGCTGATCACCCGCCCAAGGAGTCCTACCGAACGTGTAAGATCTAGAAAAACCGAAGTGAACGGAGAAGTTCATGGAGGTAGGCCTAGGCCCACTGGGACTGTAGTGCCAAGGGGGGGGGGGGACTTCCTAATGATAGCACAACTGTCTGCGTCGCTAATTGCCAATGACGCACCCTCGTTCCTCTAATAGAGTGTAGGTATGACTGATAACTTAAAATTATTTTAAATTGTCCCATCTCTACCGCTTATGTCCAGTAGGCCTATGAATATGATGGTTCTTTAATTCCGGTGCTGTGGTACGAGTACAATAGACTTTAGGCAGATGGGGTATAATCCCTGGGAACGCCCACCAAGGTTCTATCGGTCCTTGAATCGAAAAAGGTCGAGGACCGTGTTCAAAAATGTGATTTGCATTTTGATGAGAGAGAGAGAGACATGAGGAATTTACGACTACTCTTTTCTCTGCTATTGTTCAGTAAATTAAATTCGTTTATGAAATCAAAATTACCTTAATCTTGCATAATTTTATACTACAGTAAATATTGCCATTAGTCATATTTTACTGCGGGGAAGTGAAAAGCTGTTCAGGTTTCTTCCTGGAACCGTTCGGCCTGAGGGAATGGAGACATCCCACGGATATGTAACACACGGAAGTTGGTTTCGTAATTCAACCTTGGAGCCGTCCGAATTCGTATCAACTGCATTATGAATTGGACCAAGTCGTTTAACATGGATTTTTCCGTTTTGTCGTCACATGTTCCTGTAAGCTTCGCATTCCTAGTTTGAGATTAGTCCCAGAAATCTCTGTGTCAATTCATATACGATTTTTGTCCGTTTCTGCTTCGTTCGCCAATATTAATTCTAATGTAAGATTTGAGGCTTTCACGGCGGTGACTATGAAGAAAGCAGTCTTCTGCGATTTTGCACCGTGTATATGTGGTGTTAACCGACGTTTCGGAGGAACGTCGGTTAACACCACATATACACGGTGCCAAATCCCAGAAGACTGCTTTCTTCATTAATTCTAATGTTATGGATCCCATGTTGACGTCACCATTTTTAGAACAAAACCTATTAATTCTGTCGTGGTTAGTTGCATCTTTATTAACTGGATAGCACGGCAACCGCTGCTTAATTTAGTAATGACGTCCTGCAGATATATTTCTCATGTTTCATGTAAACAAGTTACGATTTGTGAATGAAATTGAAGATTCGATTCAGTAGTTTGTTACGTGAGTCACATGGTGAAGTTTCTACCTGTCAGACGTGCCTGCACTTTCTCCTTTCCACTTCAAAGACGTAAATGTGGGGACTGAACTGGCATGAGATCAGAGAAACATATCTGCGTGTTTGTCATTCATTGAACTGTCATGTGTGTCTGTGTGTATGTGTATACACACCATATGAAATGAAGCTAGGGAGCAGGAGAGAGAAATACGGTAAGAAAGACTGAGAGGCGGAGAAGAGCTGGGTAGGTTTGACGAAACTTGCAGTTTGTAACTAGACATCAGATCATTTTTCGTATTTCAGTGACATCCTCAGGAGCTAAACGCCGCGGTAATGGAGCCACGTACAACTTTTAGGCATCTTTGAACCGCTTGATGCTGGACATTGGCCTGCTGTTCTTATGTTACCGTAAAGCCGTGTCGACATAACGTTGTACTGTCTCACGCAGGGCGATAAGAACAAAAGGAAGTGTTACGTTTGACATCTGTCTGATAGGTAGATACTCGTATATGCAGTTTGTAAAAGGTAAACGGTAAAGTTGTCCATGTGTTTAACTAATTAAACACAACACCATGAAAACATAGGAGGAAGTTGATGTATAGATCCACATTTTCTTGACCTCGGCGCTAGTTGGAGGTGAGTGGTCAGCTTCACGCACCGATATGCAGTTTGTACGAGTAGTTCATGGCCGATATTGACTACACTTCTTGCAGACGTCGCTATGACGTAAGCGGGATTGCGTAGTTCAGTAAATAGAGATATCGAAGCCGTGTTCTCAGCAATCTAATACATTTAACATATTTGCTTCTTTATAGCATTTTTAAAATTGTGCGTATTGGGTTGACAGTCCATTTCCCGTTCCAGATGATAGTTAAGATATGCCTGTTGCATCTCGAGTTTGGTATTTTCTCCAGGCGACTTTCTTATGGCGTGTATTCAGAAACGTTGATTGTTTAGGCAGGGGTGCAAGCCTACCGTTAGAGACAGAACAGCTGTCGCGGCAGGTCCACTCACGGGGCTTCTGCGTCTGACTGCCGCTGATTCGCTCCACTGGCCTTGAATTGGCGGCGAGCAGCAATTGTGTATACAAGCCGGCGACTTCTGTGCGTTTTTGAAAGGTGGCGGAGGAACATGGGAGCATACTTCGGTGTTGTTATGCTTTCTTTGTAAGAAACACGTAAATGAACGTATAATGGAAAGGCGTTAGTCCGTCTGTATGTGTCCGACAACGGATTTCTATAAAACTTGGTACCTGGCGAACTCCAGTGAAATTTGTTTTGATTTAATTTTGGTTCTTAGTTGCCAGATACAACACAGACTTTACTCGAACCATAAATCGATCTTCATCTATTTTACGAAAACAGTTTTTCGCACAGAAATTGGTTTCATGAAATAAACGTAATTAAGATTGTAATTTTTTTTCTGGAACATTTATCGGCGTGGTGAATAGACTGTAAAGGGTAAATGCCCCATATTTCGAATAATTAAGGTTGGAGCCATTTTCTTTGTTGATAAAATCATGAACCGTTAATGCTTTTACGCGTTCACGTAGCTAAATTCAATAAGTCTAGTATGAGAATTAATGCTTATCATGATGTAGTATATATTCAGAAACGAAATAAAAAAAATTGTAAAGAAAGGGCGTGCCAAAATGGTAGCCTAATTTATGACAGGAGTGGTTCCTTATTTCGGATAGGTAACATATTTTTGCCGGTCACGGTAGCCGAGCGGTCTAAGGCATGCACTGCCTTCGCTCGCTCGGAAGCCGGGATCGTGGGTTCGAATCCCACTCAGGGCATGGATGTTTGTGTGCGTTTTTCTGTGTTTGTCTACAGGTAGAGGCCTTGCGACGAGCTGATCACCCGCCCAAGGAGTCCTACCGAATGTGTAAGATCTAGAAAAACCGAAGTGAACGGAGACGTTCATGGAGGTAGGCCTAGGCCCACTGGGGCTGTAGTGCCAAGGAAAAAAAAACATTTTTAAGAACTTAATCCATAAGAAAGAACCATAATAATGTGGCAACGGCTAAGTAAACACTGCCTAAAGAGCCGGAATAACAACGAACAGGCGGAAGTCCATTGCTGCACAACGGGTCTCTAAACATCCCCGTAGCACACTAACACACAACCATAGGACGTCTATTGCTAGGCAGCCCAGCCGTAAACAAGCTTTAACAGTAATAGAGGCCGTGTTTTCTATGTGATTGGTGCGGAGTCTATATAATGGCGGTCTGTAGCAAAGGGACTAGCAGTTGAGAGGTCGGCTCAAGAGAATGGGAATACGGCGGCACACAGCAGATCAGTTAGAAGTCGGCCTGTGAAGACTTAGTGTGTGATTAGAAGATTTAGTCACAGTGAGACCCTTCTAATCCCGTCACCAGGATACGACTAGTAAAGACTGAGAATCCTAGTGCGTGTGTAAATCAGCGATAGGGCTGTATTAATTGTAGTTAAGAGAGACTAATTGAAGTGCCAATAAATCCATCCGATTGAGAACCCGGTACTTTTGTCACGCGTACCCCCTCACACATGATAAACTGAAAGGAACAAGAGAAACATATGTCTACAGTATGTACAAAAATCTTATGTTTCATGGGGAAGAAGCGGCCACATTTTAAAGTATTGATTACATGAATATGTGCAAAATAATCACATAGTTTTAAACAAAAGCTTACATCAAGTTCTGCCCTTAAAAAGTAATTTCGAGTTAAAGTTGAAATTCACTGATTTTCGAGTGCAATATTCGCAAAAGTAGGTCCTCCAGTAATTTTTTTTCTGCGATGGCCGCACACAATTCTTGTGCCCATCTTAGACTTCTGAAACAACGAAACCAGTT